TATTACAGTCAAGTTTCAGCCTCGGAAAGGAGAATCACAGGAGATGTGATTCAGGGTAAAACCATTTGCTTTGCATGTGTGAGGCCTTGGGTTTGATTCTTGGCACTGCATAGTCACCCAGGCACTAAGTACAGGAGTATTCCCCCAGCACTGACAGGTGTACCCATGCCCCCCAAAATATGAACTTCAGTCTTCAGTAAATTTTGTATGGTGGGTAATCAAGACCCAGTTGTGCAATGCAGTTAGAGTCCAGAGAATGATCCCTTCCCAAGATTGCCTCTCCATGGAAGCAGAAATTGCCTGTGTCCTTGTCTAGGGAGGGATTCAGTTTTCACTAAAATAGATTTAAGTTAAATTAAAAGATGAATAGTTTGTCTGGGACTAAAGAGAGAATACAGCAGGTAGGGTGCTTGCCTTCCCGATGGCTGACCCGGGTATAATCCCTGGCACCACACATGGTTCCCCCCAAGCTTTACCATGAGAGCTTCTTGAGTACAGAGTCAGGCGTCAGGCCTGAGCACAACTGGGTGTGGCCCAAAACCAAACAGAAGATGAATCTCTGTGCTATTAGAAGATGAATAACACAGAGGGTGGTGCGTTTGCCTTGCACGTGGCTGACCTGGGTTCGATTCCTCTGCCCTTCTCAAAGAGCCCGGCAAGCCACCAAGAGTATCTTGCCCGCACAGCAAAGCCTGGCAAGCTCCCCATGGCATATTCAATATGCCAAAAACAGTAACAACAAGTCTCACAATGAAGACGTTACTGGTGTCTGCTCGAGCAAATTGATGAACAACGGAACAACAATACTAAAGTGCAGTGCTTGTTTTTCTGGTTTTGGGGCCATACCTAATGGTATTCAGGGCTTACTCCTTTTTTTTTTTTAACTTTTTTGGGTCACACCCAACAATGCTCAGGGGTTACTCCTGGCTCTGCACTCAGGAATTACTCCTGGCGGTGCTTAGGGACCATATGGGATGCTGGGAATCAAACCCGGGTTGGCTGTGTGCAAGGCAAATGCCCTACCTGTTGTACTATCGCTCCAGCCCCTCAGGGCTTACTCCTTGCTCTGTGCTCAGGGATCTCTCTTAGTGGTGCTCAAGGGACCATATGCAGTGACAGTACTGAATGTGGGTCTACTGCATGCAAGGCAAGTGTTCATTTGCTCTGCATGTGTGAGGCCCCGGGTTTCCTCTCTGCACCCTCTCTCTGCCCACCACAGTTAGTTTGAAACGCCGTGTGGCTCAAACAGGGCCGTGGACTTGGCTTAGCGCAGGGGGCCTCAGCACGGACTCTTGTCCTTGAGAACCAATTGATCTCAAGCTCAATGAAACTCTGTCTGAAGCCCAGAAACACCCACGAGGCATGGAAAAAAACAGGTCCCCGCTGCTTGTTAATCCTGGGAGCCTGATGAGCAGGACCGCAAGTTTCACTCTGGTCTGTTCAACCCTCATTATGAGCCTTCCAATAAAAACAGCAGGCGAGAGCCTGGAATTTAGCGCCGTCTCCACAAGGAGGCTGAGGCCATCTGGCTGTCTTTACAAAAGCCATGTTTGGGTTTTGTTTATTTCTTATTCCCTCCCTTTTGCATTTTCATGGGAAAGGAGAGACAGGAGGGGGAAAAAAGAGGAAGATCCAGTCCCAAGGCAGCTGAACCTGAGGCAGCAAGGAAACTTGCTAACCGACTGGCCAGGCTGGTCTTGGGGAGCTGCGGGGAGTTCATGCATGTAAAATGCGGGGTAAACTCTCAGCCACGAGGAGCGTCGTGCCAAGTATCGCTAGCCTCATTAAGCTCTTTAGTCTTGGAGAGAAAATTTGCGCTCTCAGCCTCCACCTTGGTCTCCTCCCCGCTTCCAGTAGCACAGCCCTGGTTTCAGGTGAGGAGCTGGGCAAGGCGGCTGGTTGGGTTGTCTCTGAGACAGTGCCTGGGGCTGTTTCTTGACCCGGGTTCTCTGAGTGGCTGCATCAACCCTTAGGTACGACCTTGGCCCAGAAGCGCTGGTCCCTTCTAACACAGGAGTGGTGTCAGGTCATACTCCAGCCACTGAGGCGCCAGCACAGAAGGGGATGACAGGACCACTGGGAACCAACTGATCTCAAGCTGAGATTCCAGTTTGAGGAAACGGGTAATGGCAAAGGATATCCAATAAAGGCCAGGGGGTGTCGTTGCTTTGAACCAACCAAAGCCGGAAGGGGGAGACAGAGGAACGAGGGAGGGGAGCATTGAAGGGGACACAGGGACAGGATGGAGGTCCCAAGCCAGCAAGCTGCAGGGTGGGGTGGGATGGGGTGGGGTGGAGGGCAGGAATGCATTCAGCAGAGGAGATGCAGGTGATGGATGAGGCCAGTTCCTATACTGGATCTTGAGTTAGGGTGAGGATTTTACTTGTTGCTAGGGTCTGGGGATGCACTTGCGCTGCCAAGGACCACCAGAGCCTCCACAGCTGGACTCCAGAGGCCAGCTGGTGCCGGGATGGAATGAGGGTCAGGGTGGACATGTGATGTATGCACTTCCCCCATCACCACACCAGGAAAGACGTCACCAGGTGACCTGGGAAGCCATGGGGAGTTGGAGGACATGGAGGGAATGAGAGACATAGACCAGTTTGTGTTCCCAATGGCCCCGGTTGGAAGCAGTTGGGGTACCGAGAGGGGCAAAATAGAACTTGGGAATGTGTGATCATAGCACGGTCCTTCCACGGGGGAGTGTCTGCACCCAAGCACAGTCCTTCCATCGTCCTTCACCTGGCATCTCAAGAAGGCAAAGGCTCACACCCACTCCCTACCACACCCCGAGCTCTGGCCCCGGGGAGAGGCCCCATGAGTGACGCAGCGTGCGGCCATGCACACAGGGCTGTGCTCCAGCTCACTCTCGCTTTGAGGAATTGCCCAACTCACTTTCCTTCTCTAACCTCCCCTCACAACCAGGACACACCTCCCAGAAGAGCTGAGGGCAGCTGAGGGTGCGATGGGAGCTCGTGGGGACAGGGCTTCAGTGGTGTCTTTGCAAATGCTAAGCAAGATGGTACCCAATGGGGAAAGAAGCTCCGGGTTCCTCCAGGGGGCCCAGGCCGAGGCTCCCCCTGCAGGTCCTCAGGGCTGTGGAGTTCACTCAACAGCTGTCAGGGTGGGGGGGGGGGGGACCTCTCTCTGGCCCTCCAGAGCCCCACCCTCAGGGGTGAGAGTTCACACAGGCCAGCTTCTTCCGCAGGTGGCCATGTGGCTGTGGCGGGTCACAGAGAAGGGGAGATACTTTCTCATCTTCCTACCACTTTGTTCTGAGACTCTGGGTGTGTGTGTGTGTGTGTGTGTGTGTGTGTGTGTGTGTGTGTGTGTGTGTCTGTGTGTGTGTGTGTGTGTGTTTCTGGTAAGGGTGGTGGTTCTTTCCTCTGTGGGGGATGGGCCTAGGGTCTCAGACTTGTGAAACCAAACTCTCTCTCCCACGAGCTCCATCCTTGGTTATTTTGCGACCAGCCACTTTTATTCCCTGTCCCTGGGAGGCTGAAGGAAGAGCAGAAGTGGTATCCTAAAGAAACACCAAGGGTTTGCCATCCTCTGTCCAGGGGTGGGAAACTTAAGAGAAAAATGACTAATGGGATAGGTGGGGAGAGGGACGCTCTGCTGTTTCCACACTATGAGTGTGACACCCCTCTGTGCCTCACTGGCCCCTGCTCCCGAGGGCGAGCTCAGGTGGGAGATAGTGTAGCTTCACGTCTCAGAGAACAGGGACTCACAAGGGGCTGGGTGCGGGGTGGGGGGCATTGAGGAGCCACAGGGGCCTGTTGCCCCTACCTGTTCTTCAGAAACAGCAGTCAATGGAACGACCTAACCCGGTGTCAGTTCCCCAGGTGGTGAAATTGCCCCCCAAAGGGCACTGGAAAAATGCCCCCCCATATTAGCCTGGGGCACAATTTAGGGGATGCTGTTTATTCACTTAAAGAAGGAAGATTTCCAGGGGCACTGAGTGATTCCTCGCCCCCCCTTCCAGGAGGGGGCAGTTAGACAAGTAAGTCTGGGACCCTCTGATCCAGCCAAGGGATTTCCTAGTGTGTTTCTAGTGTGTTATATAGAGCTCTGGGGTCCTGGGAGAGGACCCAGGGCTACTTCAGGGCTGAGGTGACCCCACTCTCCCCACAAGCATTCATAGAGGCTGATTTTATTTTCCTTTTTCTGTCCCGAGGAAGCACTTAAAAAGGAATGTAGCACTATAGCACTGTCCTCCTGTTGTTCATCAATTTGCTCGAGTGGGCACCAGTAACGTCTCCATTGTGAGACTTGTTGTTACTGTTTTTGGCATATCGAATATGTCATGGGTAGCTTGCCAGGCTTTGACATGCGGGCGGAATACTCTCAGCAGCTTGCCGGGCTCTCCGAGGGCGGAGGAATTGAACCCGGGTCAGCGGCGTGCAAGGCAACCCCCCTACCCACTGTGCTATCACTCCAGCCCAGGAAGGAATATAGCTTCTTTATTTTTTGTTTGTTTGGGGGCCACACCTGGTGATGCCCAGGGTTTACTCCTGGCTCTGCACCCTGGAATTACTCTTGGTGGTGGCTCAGGGGACCATATGGGATGTCGGGGATGGAACCCAGATCAGCTGTGTGAGAGGCAAAAAGCTCTACCTGCTATCCTATCGTTGTGGCCCCAGAATGTGGGCTCTGAGTGGTGAATTCAGACTCACTGGAATGGTCAGGTAGGAGGTCATGAAGGAGAGGCCAGCTCTTGGGGGACCGGGACTGTGCTGCCCACTTAATGCCGCTGAGCACCCCCAGTGGCTGCCACATGGGAATGGGGTGCAATATCATGGATGCTCAGATTTTTTTTCTCTTCTTAAGAGAAACCGGAAATCGTGATTTGTGAGCAGAGAGTCCCCATGTCCCCCCAACCGCCCATGCTGGGGTCTGTCCCCTTTGGTTTGCCACCCCTACCCAGGACACTCTGACTTCCAGGCTGCCAGGGCCAGCAGGCAAGGAGCCCAGAGGTGGGTCCGCGGTGCCACACTTACTCAGCTCCGAGATGCTGCCCACGCAGGTGGCCAGGAGAGACTGCTCCAGGGTCCGCAGCTCCAGCTGGGCATACGCATCGGCCCTCTCGTCGTGGCCCAGGGACCCTCCGTTGTAGGGGCTGAAGTAGGCGGGGAGGGAGAGAACGCCTGTGGGGGAAGCAAAGCCAACAGGTCACCCCAAGAAGGACACCAAGCTTCAGTGCTCAGTCCTGCCCCGTGCCCTGGGTAGGTCTCAGGGCTCCCGAGGGCAGCTGACTTCGAGTCCAAAAATGCAGAGGGGCTCACCTGGCCCGGAGGCTTTTTAAAAATGTATTGTTTTGCTTTTTGGGCCACACCTGTGTGTTAAAGGAATCACTCCTGGCTGTGCGGTCAGGGGTCACTTCTGGCAGTGTTCAGGGGTCACTCTTGGCTCTGTGCTCAGGGATCATTCCTGGCTTTGTGTTCAGGGGTCACTCCTGGCAGTGTTCAGGGGTTACTCCAGGCTCTGTGCTCAGGGATCACTCCTGACTTTGTGTTCAGGGGTCACTGCTGACTTTGTGTTCAGGGGTCACTCCTGACTTTGTGTTCAGGGGTCACTGCTGACTTTGTGTTCAGGGGTCACTCCTGACTTTGTGTTCAGGGGTCACTCCTGACTTTGTGTTCAGGGGTCACTCCTGGCAGTGTTCAGGGGTTACTCCAGGCTCTGTGCTCAGGGATCACTCCTGACTTTGTGTTCAGGGGTCACTGCTGACTTTGTGTTCAGGGGTCACTCCTGGCAGTATTCAGGGATCAAACTGGAATCAGCTGTGTCCAAAGCAAGTGCCTGCACCCCAGTCCTGTCTCTCTGGCACAACAGTGTGATTTTTGGGCAAGTGGAGACAAAACAGGAAGCAGATGATACAGTCAGGGTCATACAAGGATTCACTTCATCCTTCCCCTCTGGGTTTATGTTCTTGGGGGTGTGTGGGGGGCGTGGGGGTGGGGCAGGGGTGGCTGTCACCTGGCTGGCAGTTCAAGGCAAGGCCCCAAGGGTGCAGCATTGCTCCGCTCATGCTGATTCACCCCAGTGGTGCTGGAGAGTGTGTGTGGGGGGCGGGGGGGGGGCTGTACCCGGAGTTGCTGGGGGAACCGCATGGGGCAGGGATTGAAGGAGGGTGGGCTCTCTTACCCCTGTATTCTCTCTCCACCCCTCTTCCCTTCTCCACAGAGAGAATACTGACAGCACCGTGTTCACCCAGGGGCCACGCTACACTCGGGATGCGTGTTCGGGTATCACAGGGAGACTGGGGTTGTCTCTGGGGAGCTTCTTGGGGGGACACGAACGTCGGTTCCTGCTCGCTATTTAAAGGACAGCTCTGTCCCAGTCCTCTCCAAGGCCCATGCTGCTCCTTCCAGAGGAGGATGGGAGCAAGCTCCGAGAGAGGGGTGCCGGGCGTGGGCCCAGCACAATTGGTGTTTCTCATTAGCGCGCAGACCGCGGCCGAGCGGGCCTGTCAGATCCCAGCCTGGAGGGGCAGCCGGCACATTTCTCCCACGCTCTGTGTGGCTTCCTAGAAAGCACCAGAAAGGCAAAAAAGCAGACGGGCTCAAACGACGTCCGCTGATTTATTTATTTTTAACCTCGCTGTGCTCAGGGCTGACTACTGGCTCTCTGGTCAGGGATTTCTTCTGGCAGGGCTCAAGGGACCATATGGGGTGCTGGGGACCATGCAGGGCAGGCACCCTACCTCCTTCAACTTTGTTATGTGGTTCCTTAAGAGTTTCAGGTCCCACAGACACCCAGATGTCCACTTAGGTTAATTGAACAAAACTCCCACTCAATGGTGTTTTTGTTCAAGCTTCTCCCTTCATTTTGTTATTATTATTATTTTCCCCCGGAGAAAAATATCCACAGGAATTTAATCTATCCCCTTTGGGTAAACATAAACTCCTGGAGATAATGGGAAAGCCCCCTGGGATGTGGCCCCCAGGTACAGAATTCCCTGTCCTGGACGAGGAACTGGACAGAGGCACGGGGACGTGACTTCTCATTTCTGTGCCTCTGTTTCCTCATGCACCCAGGAAAGATAACAAAAGTGCCCCCCTTGGTGTGGAGTCGTGAACCAGATGGAGCTGGTGGATGTTGATGCTTGCAGTGGTGAGGAATCTGGAATGCTCTCTGGAACGCTGTTGCTGTCATTCTCACAGTGTGCTGAGAAGTGGGGTCAGACCTACACTGTCCCCGCAACAGTCAGTGCTATGGGCACCACTGACTCCATTTGAGACTCTGGGGAGGGGCTGGAGCAATAGCACAGCGGGTAGGGGGTTTGCCTTGCAAGCAGCTGGCCCGGGTTCAATCCCCGGCATCCTGTATGTCCCCCGAGCACTGCCAGGAGTAATTCCTGAATGCAGAGCCAGGAGTAATCCCTGAGCATCACCAGGAGTGACCCAGAAAGCCAACCCCCACCCAAACAAACAAAGAAACGAAAGACCAAACAAACAAAAACAACCAGTGGGGAAACCAGTACAGGGGATTTAAGAAACTTAACTAAGTGGGACGAGAGAGAGAGAGAGAGAGAGAGAGAGAGAGAGAGAGAGAGAGAGAGAGAGAGAGAACAAGGGATAAAGCACTTGCATTACACGCAGCCTGGCCTGTTCTAACCCCAGCTCCACACACTCTCTCAGGAGTCACCTCTCAGCACAGAGCCAGGAATAAACCCAAAGCACTTTCCAGGGGTGGTCCCAAAGCAAGAAACAAGATAAAAACCCAGGAATGCCAAAGCAGGGTGACATGGCCCCCGAGAACGGCTGGGGTGGATGCCCAAGCAAGCACTTCCCCAGGCATAAAAGGGGAGAAGATCTCAGCGACAGTTAGGAGGGCAATGCGTGTGGGTCAGGCTCTCCCCCCGACCCCCGACCCAGATCCAGGGGCTCGCTGTCTAGGCTCGCCAGACTGGCCTGACTTCGAAACCAGTGCCAGGGACCCCGCAGCCTCTGTGTACACTCAGCCCCAGTTCGTCCTGCTGCCCAGATCATGGCCTCAGTAGGTTCAGCTAATGGTCAGCCCTGCCCTTCCCCTGAACCCAACCTCCCTTCCCTCCCCGGGTGGCACGGCCCGTCCCATTACATCCGGAGCTGACACTGGGCAGAGGACCTCATCAAAGCACTTCCTCAAAGCTCTGCTCCTAGGGGAGGTGGAGGAGGGCAACCAGCCCCCCCCCCTTTCCTCCTAAGGAGAGAACCACCCCGATCCCCAAAGCAGAAACTCTCCCTGACAGCTGAGCGTCCAACACAGTGGGACCCAGTTGGCTGTGAGCCAAGAAAACACGGCCAGCAGAGAAAAGCCTCCTGCCTGGCCTCCACAACTGCCCACTGCTCCGAAGCCCACAGACAGCCCAGTGGGGTGGGAAGGGGTGGGGGTAGGGGTGTCTCAAGGCAGCAAGGCAGGCCTTTCCCCTATTCTTCTCCATGAAGCAACAACCCTGGGGTTATGTGATCAAATTGAAGGTGCTAGGGACCAGGGGGTGGGAAACGCAGCTGATCTGTCCAAGGATTCCCAGCTGGAATTATGTCGAGGGGTTTAGAATGAGTTCCTGGCAGCGCCGTGGTTAACAGTGCTCAATCCTGGGGCCTCAGCCACCCAATAGGGCCTTCACTTAATTCTGTGCCAAAAGTAATTACAAGCCTATTGTTAATAGCAGTGATTGATAGCATTACAGCTTTTCCAGAGGCCCTTTGGCCTTTATGAGACTTTTTTTTTACAGGGAGTCATTTATTCTTCTTGGAGGACAGGGTGTGTGTGTCTGGGGCGGGGGTTGGGCAATCATGATCAATGATAATCACAGTGGCTTTTATTAAGGGTGACCCTGCATGAGGTACTTACGCACAAGGTCACCTCTACCCTCCCCAAAGGTTCATGAGGAACTAGTCACACCCATCTTGCAGAAGAGAAAACCAAGACTCTTCCCCCAGAGTTAAGCAACTTGCCCAAGGTTATTACTAAGGGGGGTACGTAACTGTACTGGAGCTAGAAATTTATTTCATTTCCTTTTATTTTTAGTCTTGCAACTTTCTTCTGTTCATTTAGGTGGATAAATAGAGTTACAACTCACTTTTAACTGCTGTGTTAGCTAACAATCCACTTTAAGGATAAACCATGTTAGGTACAGATAGTACAGTGGGTAGGACACTTGCCTTGCATATAACCCACTCTGGTTCAATCCCCGGCACCCCATATGGTCTCCTGGGTTCAGTCCTGAGCCAAGAGTAATCCTTGAGTGCAGAGCCAGGAATAAACCCTGAATATCACCTGGTATGGCTCCAAAACAAAAGGAAGAGAATAAACCATGCTTTATTTATCCATTCCCCTACCCTAAGGCGGTTAAGTTGCTTCTATTTTTCCCTTGTTTTTGTGCATGTGTGTGTGTGTGGGGGGGGGGGTGGGGGTAGGGGTAGGGGCACACCCAGCAGCACTGGGGATTCAATCTGGAGCTCCTGTATGCAGAACATAACAATGAGCTATCTCCCCTTGGCATAGAGTTCTAATCTCTCAAGGAGTGATAGTACCGCGGGTAGGGTGTTTGCCTTGCATCTGACTGACCCAGGTTCAACCCACAACATCCCTGGTCCTCCCAGGCTGCCAGGAGTGATCCCTGAGTCCAGAGCCTGGAGTAGTAAGTCCTGAGCACTGCTGGATGTAGCACCCAAACGAAACAGCTTTTTGGATCACACCTGGTGATGCACAGGGGTTACTCCTGGCTCTTCACTCAGGAATTACTCCTGGAGGTGCCTGGGGGATCATATGGGGTCCAGGAGATAGAACCTGGGTCAAACACCTTACCCACTATACCATCGCTGCCCTCTCCTCCACTCCCCCGCCCCCGCCCAAAAGAATTTCAATCCCTCTAACTCTTCTCTCCCTGTCTCTCTTTCAGGACTGAACCCAGGGCTTCCTCGCAGAGCAGACTGGTTACCAGTGAACCTCATCCTCCGCCCAGCATTCCAAACTCTTTATTTTCCAGCTGTTGAAAACGACCTAACTATGTCCTTTATTTCAGCAGCACTAGGAGATGTGCAAGGGAAGGTGTTCCATTCTGTTTGGATCTGGGATTTGATCAGAGGAAATAGCTTGACCCAGAAAATAGCATGACCCTTTCTTTCCTTGGGTTTCCGGGCACCTCCTGGGGGCA